CATTTATTAAATTCTTTGAAAAAATTATTTTTCATTTATTGGTTGCTGTTTAATTATTTATGCGATTTTAATACATAAAATTTTTAAAAAAAAAAATTAAAAATTTTCTTGAGGTTAAAAGATTTTAAGTGACAATTGCTGATTTACACTTTTGATTGGTCGCCAGTTTGTTTCTCAGTAAACTTGATAAACTTTACTGGAATAATCACTGAGGTCTTTGTCATTTTTTATATTTAAATATTTTCAGTACAAATTGTTATTACAAGTAAATTTTTCTGTAAAATGAAGAACTACAGTTTCTACTGAAAAAAATTTAATGACTATATTATTTTTTTTATTGTCAGGAGTACAGTATAAATTAGTACCATTAGTTTCTTAGTATGCTTTTTAAATAGTTGTCAAATTTTTTTAAAACGGTAATTGAAAAATTTCTGATGAATACATCTAGATACCATCAGTGTCTCTGGGATTGTCACTTTTTATTCTGATCTATGGGTTCAGATCTTTTTTAGGATGATAAAGTGGCTACAGTTAGGTGCCATTTTTTGCCTGTCTTCAATCGTTTTATCTATGTGTCCAGCTGCTGGTAACTTACCTGTGGCACCTAAACGTGAACAGCAGTTACCGTCTTGGTTTTGCCCAACACCTGTTTGCCCAACTCCAGCATGCCCTTCTCGTCCTCCCAGGAAACATAAAAACCGCAGTTCCTCAGCAAATAGGTGCTCTTCCTGCCCAAAACTAGCTTCCCGAAGTACAGCGCCAGTTCAGCCGTGCCCATTACTACTACCTTGCCCACCTCCTCCACGATGTCCGCCACCACCACCGCCACCGCCACCACCAGCTCCATTACCAATATTCTCTTCACTATGTCCGCTGTCCACTACTCCAAAACCAGAGTGCTCGCCTAAAGTGTGCCCACCATGTCCGCCACCAAGTAGTCTTGATTGTCCACCAATTCCTACATGCCCACCACCTCCACCACCGCAAATATGCACACCTCCAGCTGCAGTGACTTGCCCGCCTCCACCACCACCACCAGAATGTCCAAAGCAAAAGCAAGCCTCCGACAGCTATTTAGTCAGCCCAGCAGACGATTGCAGAGTAAGTGAAGATTTAAATAATTTCTGTTTTTTTTTTTTTACAGTTTTCTTTTAAGTTTACATAACTTTTTGCGGTATTCCTCTTAACAAAAATTGTATCACATTGTAGACAGACTTTAAGCTGCAATAGTTTATGACCGGTTTTTAGGATAATGCTAAAGTCAGTCATGATTGTTGCGTGAATTGCCCATCAGATACCTGCGTTTATAGTGATGAAAGGGATTCATATAGAAGGAGGCTAAGACATGTACAGCGACACAAAAGAGCGAATAATAACTTAGTCGACAAATATGATCTGTATGCAGATGCTAAATGCAATGACGATAAGCTAAAGCTTCTTATGGAAAAGGTAAGCAACTAAAATTTTGTAAAAGTGGTTTTTGTTGATTTAGAAAAAGCAAAACGTCGTTCAATTTTTTGTCATTATTTGAAAAATTTTTTTAATTTTTTTTTAATTTTATAAATATTTTGCAAATGTGGATTTTCATATCTAAACTTATCCAAAGCGGAAGCAATTTCTATATAAATTTCGTTTAATTATTATTTTAATTCTTATTTTACAGTGTTTTATTTTTATGAAAAGTCCTTTCGTTTAGTTGACTGTAAATAAAAAGTTTTTTTTTGTTGCAACGGTTCAAATATAACAAAGTCGCTATTTTTTTGTAGAACATAAGCAAGGATTCATCGGCGGCGAAAAGGCAAATACAAGCAGTGGTTGAAAGAGAATTTCGGACAAAATTCAACGTTATTTGTTCGTATGATAATTTTTCATATATTGTACACACCAATACATTTTGTCAACATGCTGTCAATGGTATTAATTGCTACGCCTTTTCTGTTAATTAAGAAGGTTTTAGACAATGTACCTAAAATTTTACGCTTAAATCAAGCGCTGTTTTGTACGGGGTTTCATTTTCTGCCTGTATATTGTTGTAAAACTTATTCTGCATTGTTGTATATAGTGGTTAAATAAATGCTAATAGTACTTTATATTTTTGATGACCAATGAAAATTTCTATAGAACTGATGATATGTTCGTTAAAACTATTACTTTGCAACTGTTCTACTGGATGCGCTCTTGTTTATCGGCTTGTTCTCCGCAGTGAAATCAAAGTCAAAAAGTAACACATGCAAAAGGATGGTGTTTCTAATCAAATTCTGCTGCCACTCTCAGTTCCCCAAGCATGCAAGTGAAGAGTGTTGTCAAACATTAGGTTATGAAAATGGATAGAACAAAGAAGAAAAGAAGATTTATAATGACATTCTTAAGTTAAAAGAGAACACTCAAATGACATGTAAGCAAAAAAAAAAAAAGTGTGATGTCTTGTGGTGGGCACAGTGAAAAATGCTGTAAGATTCCTATCACTTTGATACACCAGATGAAGCATTAGAAGAATGTTCAATTACTGTACTGCAAAGTTTTACAGACCAAAAAACATTAGTAATTACAAGGAAAATAGTGTAACATAGTTGAAAGAAGTTTTATACGATATCACTGTAAAAAAATTGCAGAAAAAATTTATTGATGTCGACCTATCCCGTTTCCTCTTTTTTCCTCCAACTGTTCCTGCAGCGAAGTTTACCAGCCACGGTTATTTCGCCGTGGTTCAACTGGAAGAGTTTTAGGTGAGAAACAATTTTCTGGTTTTTTAGTTCTAGTTTTTAACAACGTAAGAAATTTAAGAAGTCATTCAAAATAGTCGTTTCTGAATTAGCCGTATCATAACATCAAATTTTCAAGTATCATTAAGTTATCTGGCTGCTTCGTTTAACAATTCGTCATAGCAGGGTTGTAAAATTGGTTAAATAGCTTTGGATTTCAAAGCCTTTGTTTGGTTGGGTTGATTTGTAATTAATATTCGAAAAAAGGATGATAAAAGTGCTGAAATGTGTGGTCTTCTTAAAACAACACAGAGACGACTAAGTGCTAAAGGTTGTTAAAAGTCTTAATAAACAAATTGAACATTGTTTTCCCTTTTTTTTTTTTTTTTTTTTTTTTTTTTTT